TTTTCATCCATGCCAGCAGAAATGCCCTCCTGTACAACCTCCTCCACCCTGCCAGCAGAAGTGCCCACCCAAGACCAAGTCAGTGCTTCAGCAGTCTCCAGGACCAAGCGAAGAGAATCCATCTCACCTACATCTATAGCAACAACTCCATTTTCTATTCAAAACTCTTTATAGATGTTGATCTTCCCTACCCTTCACCCTCTGTGTGCCTGTTAGTTCCCCTAAAATGGGAGGCTTTTCCATGAGGCTGTTACGGGGCCACTGAGAATGATCCTGTTGTGGTTCAGTATCTCAGATAATCAGAGGAAAGACCAGCAGATGTACCCTCAGTACCCTCAGAGGATGACTTCCAAATCTCTCAGTCATTTGTCATTACTGTTTCATTTCCTAAATAAATTAAAACCTTGATTGCATTTTTGTGTTTTCTTCTGAAACTTGTTTTATGCCATGCTTGTATTCCTTTTTTCCTATCACATGGCTATCTGTAGCATTTGTGTTTTGACTGCACTTGGATCATAACATGCATTATGTAGTGTTTGATTGCTTGAGGATCATACTATTCACTTTATATACTGCCATCTCTTCATTTGTCACATGCTAACTTAAGAAGATAATGTGTTCTTCAGTTATTCATGTACTTCTTAGATCATACTTTTTACATACATCTCTCATATTTTGCTCTCACTTGATCCCTTACTCTGTCCTAATAGTTACATATATACATCAATGTATACTTGTTAATTAGTTCTGATTTTATATTTAAAACAACATGCCTACTTTGTCATTTAGAATGTTATTTTTCTTTACAAGATGATATGTAGTTATAAAAATTTACATGAATAGGACATTGCATTATTGTTCTTTATAAATAAATATTACTCTGGTGTGTATATATGCCGTATTTTCTTAATCCAGTCATTCACTGATGAACACCTATTCTGGTTACTTAACTTGCATATTGTGAGTTGTGGTGTAATAAATTTGGTCATACAGATATCTAAGGTATGTTCTACTTGACCTCTGTATATACAAACGCAAGTGTTTTTTGCAATGTTATGTTTGTTCTGCTTTTACTGTTGTTTGTTAGGAGAAAACAACATACTGATTTTCATACTGGGCTGATTAATTTACTCTCTCATGGGCAGTGTATATGGGTTCCTTTTCCTCTATCTCACATACATCTATATATCCTGTTATATCTCTTTAATAGGAATTTTTATTATTTTGATGGTAATAAATGGAGCAGTGGAATTCAATTGCGGTTAGCCTATATTTTTCTGAAAACTAGGAATGCTGGTCATGTTTTATTTCTAATGTTAGACAACAAAACTTGTAAATATATCAGTGATTTGTCTTTGCCAAAAATGGAATAAATACATTATGGGCACAATGCTAGACAATAATTTAGAACTAAATAAGTAGCAACTGCTGATTGTCTTCATTTCTCCCTTGCCAACTATCATGCCTATCACCACCAGCACTGGCACGTCCATCATCATCTGCCAATCATTGCCCATACTATGACTATACACCCACCAAGACCATCATGGTCCTGTCCAACATCTCCATCATAGTAACCACAAATTTTTCACTGCTACTACCATTTACAACATCATTAGGATCATCGCCATCCACCTCCACAGTGACATTAGCATAGCTGGTTCAGTGTAGAAGTAGCTTAGACACAACTAACTCACATAGGAAATACAATTCTCAAATGTATTGTTTCTTGTATTCTACTCATCCCTTAATTTTCTTATTGTTCTTATTTTCTGTAATAAAGGGTATGTAAAAGAGTTGGGGGATGACCCTGTTTAAATACTTGGCAATGCTTAAAACACAAATACAGAAGAGAAGTGGAGATGGGCTTCAAAATTTATTTTCATCTTTTCCTCCTTTGTCACGGGATTCCTTTAGCTGTCTATGTAATTTAAACACACACTCCTCATGCCTTACTTCTGAGGCTATTCTGTGAGTTGATCTGATTCTATGTGTGTTCAAATTTTTGTTTCCTATGTTTGTTTAAAATTGTTAATACTGCAGAATGCAGCTTGTTTTTGTAAGTACTGAGAACACCAGTCAATTAAGATCATGACAAGTGACAACTGGGTCCTGTCTTGTGACTAAGACTGAGATATCCAAAATGCGAGTGTTAGTGAAATGAAGAGATAGTATCTTCTGGTCCATGAAGTTCAGAACACCTTTGCCAGAGAATCACTTAGGCAATGTGTTCAACTACATGTTCCTTGAGAACATACATGAAGCTCTCTGATTTTCTGGTCTCTGATTTTCTGGAGTTCTCCTTGGTTCTTTCCCAGGAAGTTGAGTCATGTCCTTGGTTCAGCTTTCCAGTAGGTAATGTTTAAAAAAAAATCTCTTATGAGATTTACCAGATCTATAAAGTTAAGGATGCCTTTCTAATGTCATCTTTTGCAGCTTTCCAAAATATTTTCCTTGTGCAAAGGAATGGAATTCCTGAGGAAATTTATGAGAAAGAAGCATTCCCAACATAGAAAAAATTGATTTCTTGGTAATGACAGGAGGAGAAACTATACAGTATCCCACCGGGTGTGCTTGAGATCAAAAGCACAAAGTGTTCTTTGGAATTGAAGAAATGCATGACTCTGGTTTAAACAGTGTGCAGGGTCTTCTTCTCCTGTGAATAGTCTCAATGAAAGCTTTTGTTCTGTTTTCCCAGGCATGTCATATGCAGCATCAGCTGCAGTGGAGCAGCCCTTCCAGACACATGTGTGTGCTGACTCTAGAGTCTTGTTTCCACTGCACAGCCAGTGTGTAGACGCATGCCTGTCTTGGAAGCTTTCATCAATGAGATGGCCCTTCCTCAGTTCCCAGGGCCACCCTAAGTCAGGCCTACTGCACCAAACTCCTCGTTCTTCCTAAAAATGTGAGTCAAGATTCCAATTTCTCAGTCCAAGGAATTAAGAACAGTACAACTTCTGGAACTCAGTGAGACTTTTAAACCAAAAATGTCTCAGAGTGCCATTAGTGTAATATTGCTTATCTGACAATAAAATAGCTAATTTCAGTACCATGTGTATTTAGATTTTACTTCCTCTTTAGATGGAGCTTACATTTCCTGGGGGAGCATCTTTTTTGTTGTTGTTTTTAACAATGTTCACATTTTACAACTAATTGTTCTCTCAAGTAGCATGTCCCTGGATTTGGACTCCCCAAAGCAAAGAGTCTTTCACATTGTCTGAAGGAGTCTGGCTTTCAGTTGTTAAATGACCATCCTGGAATAAGATCTTTCAGTCCTCTATATGTCAACTTCACTTTCTTCTTAAAGTGAAAATATTAGCATTATCTTAGGCATTAAATGGCTCAGTGTAACGTCTGACATATGATTAAGTCCAGGGCAGTGTCTTGTGTCACTACCCCCACAGTGTCATCATCACATTGTCTTTGAAGGAAGTTGTGCTCCAGCTAGGCTGTGGAATGCACAGTCTGTGAACCTTTGACAACCGTTAATGTCTGCATAATTGTTTTCTTCCTCCTCTGATACAATGGGATTGTTGAGAAACTTCTCCTTCTAGGAAGATGGAGAAGAAATTTTTTTTCTAATTAATGCTGTTACCTATCACACGAAACATCTGGTTTTTATATGTGCCACTGGCACTTGAACTGACTTTTGGGAATTTATTCCCCATGCTGGGTTGCTCATCTAACCTTGATGTAGGGGTTGGAGCTTGTTCTGGCCTCAACTTGATGTGCCATGCCTTGCTGACTCCTGTGGGAGGCCTGTCACTTTAGGCATGGAGGTGGAGGTAGAGTGATTGGGGGTGTGTGTGGTGTAGATGGGAGGGAAGAGGAGGGGATGGGAAGAGGGGAAGGAGGAGTAACTGGGGTCAGCTGTTGGATCCCAGGCCTTTCCCAGCTCCTCGAGGTGCTATGCAGAACTGTTTATCCAACCAGTCTAGCTTCCTGCCATCTCCTCTGCTCGCTCCACTGGCTAGGGGAATTAGCATAGAGAGACTTATCCTCTATTGGCATGGTAATTCCACCTGCAAAGAAGGGTTCTCGCAGCAGTGCCTGCCCTGTCTGTCACTGCAGCTAGCTCGGCACCCCCTGCCCCGTAGCTCCTGCCACCCGACTCCAGGCGCCCAACACCATGATCTCACTCCTAGCTGGGAGGGGGTTCTCCTCCTTTGGCTCCTAAGTAAATAAACCTGGAATTTCGCTGAATAAAGTTGACATTTACCTTTTGGGCAAATGATCCAGATCTCCCTCTGTGTGTGTGTGTCTGTTTTTAACTCCTAGGACATTGTTCCAAGCTCGCGACTTGATACAGGAGGTGTGCAACCGTACTGGGGAATAGGGGCTCGCAGAATTGGGTGGAACAGTCAGCATGTAAAATAAATGAAAAAAAATTAATCAAAAATTTAAAAAATGTTAAAATGCTGGAAGGTTCAGTAAAAAGAAAGTTCAGCTCAGGAATATGATACCTGAAGAAGGACACAGTGCTGATTACAGGCTCTTCATTTTGAGACAGCGTCTCATGTAACTTCTTATCCCCCTAGCTTCAGCCCTCAAGTGCTGGAGTGCAGGCTTACTCTGCTCTGGCTGCTTTATCCAGAACTGGGGATGAAGCCCATGCTTTGTGCATGACTTGGCAACAACTATGGGGATATCCCAAATTCCCAGAGTTCCTTTTCATTGTGGATGTCCAAATTGGAGAAACCAAGGACAGAAATATTGAAGGATATAAATCCCTCATATTTCAACATAACCCTTCTCTCTCTTGCAGTGGGACAAAGAAAGAAAAGCCTAGAATGATGGATATTTTGCAGGCAGCAACTGTCACATGCAAACTGTGATTCTCCTGCTCTATTCTCCACACCCCTACACCCACACCCACCCTCCCATTGTCAACAAAGCTGTGTGGAAAGCCTGACATCATTCTACTCTTCCAGGTTCTGATGACTTTGGCAAGCAATTGCTGTCACAGAGGAGGGGTGCAAATAGGGGTTGTCACAGAATTCTTCCATATCCCTCTTTCTCAACAGTGCATTTCCAATCACCAATATCACTGGGAAGGAGCTTCGTTGCTCCGTCCGGTAAGCAGGGACATGGATTAGGAACCCCACGTGGTTTCTGGTGATAGCACAGATCATGAACTCCGGCCCCAGCTGCAGAAGGAGCATGGCCCTTGGTAAAGCTGACTTGTTGGGTCCTGCCCCCAGTCAGCACCAAGGTATGTGAGAAAATCCGTGAATGTGGCAATAGCTTAGGAAAAAATTTTCATCTATCTAATGGTTAGAGCATCTTTACCTGAGGGGGAAAAAAATAAAGGAAGCACAGACGCTTTCTGGTGGCTACTTTCTCTTTACTTCATCTTGAAAGACATTCTCTGTGAAAAGTTTCTCTCTTCCCAATGCTCAATATTCAGCAGTTTCTTCATGATTAGGTCTACAGCTTTTTCTCTCTGCCCTTCTGCTGATGCCCTGATGCCTCTGCCCTTTGCCCTTCATCCTCCACCCTCTGCCCTTCACCCTCTGCCCTCTGCCCTTCACTCTCTGCCCTCTGCCCTTCACCCTTCACCCTCTGCCCTTCACCCTCCGCCCTCTGCCCTTCACCCTCTGCTTCCCTACATTGCTGCCCTCTGCTCTCTCTCTGCTCCTCCTGTTCTGCTGCCTCTGTATCTCACAGCCCAGCTCTGAACAATTAAGTTACATTTTTAGGTTCTGACTCTTTCTCAAAACCCAAGATAAGTCATGTGTTTTCTCTCAGGATAGGAATGTATCGTTTACCTGTGTACATTGCTCTAAATTGGTGAAGGTTCCCAGACAGAAAATGACATTGAAAACCAAGACTTAAAAATAACAATTAGTTAGCTGGACCCTGAGTGGTAGGGAGTATGCACAGACTAAAGTTGTTTTAAGCTCTGGCCTTAAATAAGCAAAATGACAACTATGAAAATAACTTTTTATATTTGTTTTCAGCGGCAATGAGATATTGTCTCTAGGGGCAACCAGCCTGCTTTAAATTCTCTCTGAAGTCTAAAGTTAGCTGTCATGTAAAAGTCTGTCTTTGTGACTGAGAAAACTATGTCATTCTGAGGAATGTAAAATACCCTAGTATTTCTATTCGTCAAAATTATACAGATAGTAGAAATCATCCTTCTGACCATCCACAGCTATATTTGTGCCCAGTAGATGAACATTTTCACAAGATAAGCACACCATCAGTGGGAATACACCGAAAGCTGTTATTGGGGAAGAAATGAAGTTCTTCAGGAAGAAATGAAGTGACTCATGAGAAAAATTGCAAACAGAAACAACTGGTTTTCACAGCCAGTGACCCCACGGCTCTACCAGGTGGAGCTCCCTATTAGGGAATCATGTGTTTGATGGGTCGACTTGTTAAACAGTAGTTGTCACCGCTGAACATTCCCACGGTCCTCTGCACCTCGGAGGCAATCTGTTGCATGGACATCAACTTGGTCTCAGGTGTCAGTGCAGGTCACTCATGTCAATATGGCCCTTGGAGGCAGCAGGGCCTACAGACATCAACATGGCTTCATGCAGCAGTCCAGACCAAAGGCATTTAAGTGGCCTTTGGTGGTAACTTGGGCCATGGCATTGATGTAAACTCTGGCTATGGTAGGCCTGTAGACCTGGATATTTTTCACTGGAGAAACAGGGACCGGACACATGGCCTCAGGAGATAGCACAGGGCATTCACATCAATATGGCCCAAGCAGCAAGGCCCCCAGACATCAACTTGACTCCAGGCTGTAGCACATACCTTGGTAGAGGGCTGTTCTGTAGTTGAAGGGGAATATCAAAGTAATAGAGATGGGCTGGGAAGAATGACTAAGGCGGGTGTGGAGAAAGGATCAGGGTGACCTTGGATTGATAATTCAAATGACTGCTAAGTTCCAAAGAAGCAGAGATGCACTGGGAGGAGTGGTTGAGGAGCCCAACAAGGAAGGACACTGTAGTTCTGTATCAGGAGTGCTGGCTGGGTACTGCAGGGAGGGAGGTTGGCTCGGAAGGGCTCAGATGGACAGCACGCAAAGGTTTGAGAATACCCTAGAGAGATCAAAATGGAGGAAGAAGGGAAGGAAGGCACAGGTAGCCTGCTTGCTTCCCAGCCAAGCATAGTGGCTGTGGGGTCCCTAGTAGAGAGAAGGTCTATAGTTTGCAGGGAGTCACAGTGGAATAGAAATGATCTGGGAGGAATGAATGAGGTTGACAATAAAGAAGAGCTATGGGGGACAATGGGTTTGAGCCTCAAGTGGTGGCTGAGTCCCAAAGGGATGGCAATGGACTGAACACTTTCCTGGTTTCTGTTAGTCTAATAGTCACATCTGAAGACTTGAAACTGGGAACCAGAAACAAGAAAGAACACAGTAAATATTTAGAAAAATGCCATGCTCCCCATTTTTGACAAAACATCGATTCATAAAATTCCTTAGAAAACAAGAATGGAAATGCCTGGGTTAACTTGAGGGCTATTTGACCTTTAAGATCATAAAGCTAAGTTAATTATATGTTTGTCTAATTGATGGATGATAGATAGAAAGGACCTTTGTGTTTTTGTGAGTGTGTGTTCACATATGTATGCCCATGTGTTCCATATCTCAGATATTGGAGGATCATATTGGAGAAAGTGTGCTGAGTGACCTTGTTCTTCTGTGACTGCTCTTGGAACACCTTTAAAAGGAACTTCTGTGCGTGTCTCATCCTGGAAGGAGATTCATGCTGCCCCGACCCTGGTGCCAGTGCTTTCAGGGTTAGTAGTCCCTATGTTAAAAACTGTTTTATTAGTAAGTATATCTTTTATTGTAAATAAAGAGTAAAGTTTTCATCATGAAATTTAAATATAAGTATAAGAACATATTAACCTTTGTCGCTAAATTCAACTTCTGGGAAAACATGACACTTCTCTTTTGGATATTATTCCTTTAAAATAATACTTTATTAGTTCTTTGATAATTTCAGATTGTGTGATTTTACATTAATCCCCTCATCTACCAACTCCTCTGTCAACCCTCTCTAACTGTTCCCTCACTGAAAACCCAACTTGGAGTTTTCTCCCTCTGTCTACCAAGATCAGATTGTAGCGCTCAAGGAGACTTGGCAGTGTGACTTATCCTAGAGTGTGGTCAACCTACGTGGAGACAACTCATTAAAGCAAACCAACTGTTTCCCAGTAGCTGTCAAATGCAAATGGTTACCTTCATTTGCCTGTGCTGAGTTCTTTGTCTGGCTTGAGCTTGCATCGATTTTTGTCCGTACTGCCCCCCAACTGCTGTGGTTCATATGTAAAACTGTAATATGTGTTTGGGAAACACTGTTTCTTTGATGTTACCCACAACCTCTGATTCTTACAATCTTCCCACTCAATCCAACAATGTAGAAAATACTGAGGATGCCTAAAGCTGCTATTCTCTGTACATTGACCTTCTGAGTGACTTGGTGCTAATTACCATATTGCAAGAATGATGAGGAACAAGTGATACACTGATCTATGGGTATAGCAATAGGCCATGTGGAATCATTTCAATGATATGCCCATTTAGCAGAACAATAATATTGCCTTCTCCCCTAGGGCCTGTGACCTACTCAGTCACAGGTTCTTGGCTGCATTAATAGTACCAAAAGCAGGTATGGGTTCCTTCTCATTGAGCAAGTCTTTAGATATAATCAGAAAGTAGTTGCTGCTCCCATAACATTCTTGATGGTGTTGCACCAGTCATATGTCTTCAGGCCAGTCATTATAACTCATAGGTTTCACAGATGGGTGAGACTGAGGATCATTTTCATTCTCTGGAAGCATGCCTATGAAACTCCAGAGTCATGAAAGATAGTTAGTAGGGACAAGGTTTCCAGCTGAGTGTCTGCTTTCTCTCTCCTTATTCTGTGTCTCAAGCATGTAGTGTCTTCAGTGCCAGGCAGAGGGTCAAACAATGGAGTTCTCGAGGGTAACCGAGAGTATTATCAATAGCCTATAATACTTGGTAGTCTATGGGAGCCTACTGATGAATAGCACAATAGAGACAATTTTTTCCCGGTACTGGGGTTTTTATTTGCCAGTGTAAAGTGACAAGTTACAGTACTTGGGCTCCCATTGTGAGGTAACACTATTAAAACTCTTTTTGCATATGTACATGAATACATTTTAGGAAGTTTATATGGCAGTAGGCATCCAAACAGCTTTATCAACTGGCCTTTAGCATTAGTTATCCTTCTCTATATTCCCTCCTTTATCCCGACTTGCCATTCTAACTTAACCCTTCCTATTCCATCATTCCCCTTTAACCCTTTATTCCCTTTGTTATGAGATATCTAGAATGAGAGCCTCAAGAGTAACTCAGATGATGCTATGTGACACTACAATTCCGGGTGGCCAGATAATTTTTGTATTTTGGCTATCAGAAGTCAGACTTTATTTTTTCTTCTCAGACGATGCTTTAGATGTGATTGCAAATACGGAGCGAAGTAAGTGACCTGCTGAATGAATTCTATTGCCCTGTGGTTTGTGCACTAGCCTGAGTGAGCCATCCATCAGTGGTGTTTCCTAGCCTCAGGTGCTGAACTGATGATCCTTTCCCTCTAGAGACACGGATAAGGGCAGTCTCGGCTAAACCCTTCCTTACTGTCAGAAGCACTGACAGTCACAGGAAGCTGACACACTTCGCTGGTGTTGATTCAGTGCCTGTGTGCTTCTCAGAGCAGATCTGAGGCCAGTTAAAGGCTTTGTTTCATCTTCTTCATTCTATTCTTCCATCTCTAATTATAAAGTGATATTATTTTTATAGTCGCTTTTGTTTTTTTAGTTAAAATTCAATTACATTGATTTTTGGAAGACTTAACCATTTCAACAAGACAAGCAACAATGACACTTTAAACATGTAATGTGCTATTTACAGTCAGTCTTCTTAGGACAATAAAGGAATGAGAAAAGACAAGGCTTACAAACACATTGACTACATATGGCTTTATTGAGAAATAGTCATCAAATTTCACAATTAAGAGGCAGACCAGGTCTTAGTCTTATGAGAGTAAATAAACCTACATGCTGCAAAGTGGCAAGCAGTTGAAGTAGATGGTTTTCAGAACGGCAAAGATGAAAGAGATAGTATCTAAAACCAAGAAAGACAATTTTGGCAACCAGGTGGAAAATCCCCAGTTTCTCCAGCTGCAACAAAAGACTGAAATGGAGAAAGAAGGAAAGAAGGAATGACCTCTGAGTCACTGCACGCATCCCAGTGACTATGTCCAAGGACAGGATATTTCCTGTTTTGGAGAGTTCTGGTTAAACCAGTTACACCCAGATTTGCATTTTAGTTAGGAAATTGTTGGACCAGCCCACCATCTAGCGGCTCTATGTCCTACTGGGTGGGGCAGCCAGTCCTATAAAAAAGAATTGGATGAAGAAAAGTAATACCATTGCTACTCAAGACCCGGACTACGGAGAACCTGGTAAGTGCGACTTCCTGAATTGATCTCTGTCTGTGGTCTTCTCATGTAGTTTAGAGAGAACACTTGATGATTTCAAACTGTGATCATTGGTTGAATGTTAGTTACCAATCTGAAATTCAGCAACGTGTTGGAGTGATCCACACTGTGTTAGCTTGTTTCTGCATTTGTGTATAGGTGGTTGATGCCCATATGGAAAACCAAGACAATAGGAAAGGATTGCTTTGAAGATGGTGACAGAACAGAGTATTTTTATTTTCTTACATTTTGGTGTCCTTTTCAAAGGACATTAGCAGGCATTAGACTCTTGAATTTCTTTAGGTGTCTCTGATGTGAAACCCGTGTTCTGTTTGGGATTTTACAGGTGCCAATGCTGATAAGGATTGGTTTTGAGATTACTTAGGGTTTCAGAAATTGGGACAGTTGTTCTTGAATATGTTATTTTGTGCAAGAAACACTATATTCTTTGAAACAGAGATGTTTCTGGGTATGGGAAATGCAACCAAAGAAGGATCTACAAAGTTAAATGAAACAAAACACTAAACTGGAAGGGAAAATCCAGGAAGTCCTAAAAGACAAGGAGTTGGGAGTACTGTTTGTATGTTAGAGAATTACTGCCAAAATCCTATCAGCCAGTTTTCTTTATGAAAATCACTTCTTGTGAGAACCACTATGTAATGTCTTTCAGATCCTGAGACTTCAGCCATGTCTTACCAAGAACAGCAGTGCAAGCAGCCCTGCCAGCCTCCTCCTGTGTGCCCACCCACGAAGTGCCCAGAGCCTTGTCCTCCCCCAAAGTGTTCAGAGCCTTGTCCTCCTCCACAGTGCCCAGAGCCTTGTCCTCCTCCACAGTGCCCAGAGCCATGCCAGCAGAAGTGTCCTCCTGTGCAACCTCCTTCACCCTGTCAGCAGAAGTGCCCACCCAAGAGCAAATGAGGGCTTCAGCAGTCACCAGGACCAAGATAGGAGAAGGGACTCCATCTCATCCAGTTCCATAGCAACTCAAAACCTGTGATGGATTTTGGAGAATATTTTCCATCCTTCACCCCTGATATGCCAAAGATGATCTCTGCTAGGGAAGGCATTTCCATGAGACTATTCTCCTGCTACCGTCAAGGGGCTGCTGAGAATGATCCTTCCTCTGTGGCACAGCATCCCAGATACACAGAGGGGAAAGCAGCAGATGTTACCCCAGTGTCCTCTGAGGAGCCTTTCCAGTCTGCCTGTCACATGGGCAGGGGCTTTTACAACTAAGATAATTGTCACTGTTGTTACTGAATAAAGTACAATTTTGGTGATGGTATAGAGATGTTATTTCTTTGAAAACTTTCCTTATGGGTAGTATGATTTTTCTCTCTTATTCTGTATTATTTACTCTTATTTATCCTGCACATAAATAACTCACAGGAAGCAACTTAAGGAACAAAGAGCTTATTTTGTCTTACAACTTGAGAAGGCACAGTCATGGCATTGGCGGCATGGGGGCAGGTGAATGGTTATATTGCATGTACACACAAGAAGTGGAAAGCAGACAAAGAGTGGGCCATGCTGCAAGATCTCAAACCCCATTCCCAGTTACCAGCAAAGTTCCCCTTTCTTTAGGATCCACAACTTTCTAAACAGTTCTAACCTCTGGATTCAAGCACACGAGATTACGGAGGGCATTTATTATCAAACTGCAAGGAGTGCTAGGCAAAACCCTAATGATCAATTTTCTCTGAATTTGAGGCCAAAGTAAACATTATTTTTAAAATATTTCAAGCTCTTCTTATTGTCTTCAAGTATTATTTAGTTCTTTTGAGGAACAAATTATTTAAGTATTGAGGAATTCAGTTCCTCTTCCCCAGTTCAGGAGACTAACATGTACACCATAAACTTGTTCTGTGCATAGAGTTGTCAGCACTTTCATTAGGTTAGCAAAATGCCTGAGACTGAATTAGCTCTTAGTAAATAGCCATCAGCAGCCCCTGGCCATCATTATTTATACGTATAAGTTATTTAAATGTGACTTATTTGTACCTGGTACAGAAAATACGATTTAAATGTATTATTCTGAACATTTTATTTCCTAGTCAAACTCAATTTTCTATTCAATATTTCAGAAAAATGACATTTTGGGGAATTGATAGAGCGCCAGTGCAAACTCCTAACAGTCCTTAAAATGTAGGGATTACACTATCAAAGGAGGGAAGGGGACCAAGGTGGAAGGTTTTCTGTCTCTGCTATACACAAGTCACCTTCTTTCTCTAACAACCCACATCCTATTACCATTATTTACCTAAGTCTTCTGACTCCATATTTGAAACATTTTGGTGTTTTCAATGTTAATAAGATTTGCTGTCACTGCTGCCACACAGTTCAGTTGCTAAGTGTCCAGCCTCCTAACCAAGTTAGTTCTTACATATTGTGGTCCTGTGTGTCCAAATGGGATTGTAAGTAGATGAGTCTTCTATTAAGTTTAAACTACAATTACCACAACATTGCTAAGGTTGTCATATTAGAAGTGAGTGAAGATAGGCCTGAATCATTCAAGCTCCGCAGAGTGTGAGCCCAGCCTAAGGAAGCTGAGTTACCTCTCTAATAGGTGCTGCAAAGGACAGGGACATGAAAGTGTTCTTGGGAAGTTGATCAGCATGTTATAAAGTTGACAATGTAGGTTGTTTCCAGGTTCTGACTATTATGAATAATGTTGCTATGAACACAGTTGAGCACATGTCCTTGTGGTATGATTTAGCATCCTTTGGGTATATGTCCAAGAGTGGTATTGCTGGGTCTTAAGGTAGATTGATTTCCAATTTTCTGAGAAATCATCATACTGACTTCCAAAGTCATTGTACAAGTTTTCATTCCCACCAGCAATGGAGAAGTGTTCTCCTTACTCCACACCCTCTCTAACATAAGTTGTCATCAGTGTTTTTGATCTTTGTCATTATGACAGGTGTAAGATGGTATCTCAGAGTCATTGGTCTATTTGGAATTTTAATGTCTAGTTTCTTGAGTTCTTTATATATTTTGGAGATCAATTCTTTGTCAGATGTTGGACTGGTGAGGATTCCCACTCTGTAGACTGTTGTTTTGTCTTATTTACTATGTTATTTACCTTTCAGAAGCTTTTCAGTTTCAGGAGGTCCTATTTGTTAATTGTTGTTCTCAGTCTCTGTGCTACTGGTGTTATATTTAGGAAGTGGTCTCCTGTGCCAATCATTAAAGGCTACTTTTCACTTTCTCTTCTATCATCTTTGTGTAACTGGATTTATGTTAATGTCTTTGATCCATTTGGACTTGAGTTTTATGCATGGTGGTAGATATAGATCTATTTACACTCTTCTACTTGTTGACATCCAGTTATGCCAACACCATTTGTGAAGAAGCTTTGAATTTCCTGCTAAAAATACAGACAGGTGTGCCTATTTCACAGGCTTCATAGTCCGGGATTAACAGGTTTCAGATGTATCTTCAGAGATCCAGAATTCCCAATTCTCATTAATTGTCTTCTAAAATGTTCCTGTTCTAGTTGTCTTACAGATACCAGCAGGTTTCTGCTGCTGTATCAAAAACCAGGTCTGATAAAAAAAATAGATAAATAAAAAAATAAAAAACCCTAACACTCTCCAGAGCCTATTTTAATCCCACTCATTTTCAAGCATTATTACAGATCACTCCTGCTGTTTGTGCCAAGCGCAACTTACAAAAGGACCCTCTAGATAACACCAACACCTACATCAGTTCCTGGGACTTCACCTGTTGGTACCAATTCTTCCTACTCAAAAGAACACCTACTAACTAAAATCTGGTTTTAAAAGGGAATATCTGCTCTCATATCTCACTTATTCACCCATGCCTCTCCTGGACAATCAGGGCACTTCTCTGTCCCATTCTTTCTGGCAGTCAATGGCCCTTCCCATGGCTAGCCCCATTCATAGGGCCAATACTAATATATTTTTCTCCTAGCCACCTGCCTTCTCATCTTCCTCAAGGAACAGAGTCCTGAGGTCTCCAGGATGGCAGTAAACCTGATGCTTCTCCAGCCATACCTCCCACTGAAATAGGCACACCTGTCTGTATTTTTAGCAAGAAATTTAATAACTGAGATAATGAGCTACCACTACCTTAAGTCATCAAAGGTCTTTGCACAAATCTAAGAGGGATAAATGAGCAGAAATCAGAAAACATTTTTAGCTATGTAGGGAACCCCAAGTCTCTCCGTAGTCTTTGGAGAACATCAGCCTTAGAAGCAGTGCTTGCCATTAGCTTCTGAGTACAAGAGGTCCAAAGATTTTCCTGTGGGGGGAAGATTTAGTTAGTATGCCTGTCTTGGCAGGATGAGACAATCATCCCCAGGGTTGAATCCAGGAAGCTAATAAGGTAGAAGGCCATTTTTTGCTGTGTGGGTGGCTTTGCCATACCCAAAGGCAAGCCTTGAGGCATGCTCTAACTAACCATGCATCTTCTTGGAGGAGCTAAAGGATGCTGCAGGAGCTGGCATGTCTGTGTTCGAAGCTCTTTTGTTAAATGCCATACTCTCAGATCTGTAAAGGCACTTGAGAATTGAGTGACATTACCTGTTAATTATATTTAAATTAGACATATAAGTTAAATTTAGACATGTATTTTACCCAATTCGTTACAGCTTACCAATGCTAGCAAATGTAAGAAGATTAAAAGGAATATTTTAATAAGTCAAAGAAAACTAGCGCATGTGGGTGCTCTTACCCAAGATGGAGCTGAGGTCAAAATGGAGGCTACCCACGTGTTTGTATTTTTCCAGAGCTGTTTTAAGCTGGAGTTATAACTTTTACAGATCTTAAAACACACACACACACACACACACACACACAGAGAGAGAGAGAGAGAGAGAGAGAGAAATACAAGCATACTATTAATACACACAAAAAGATAAAAGCATAGTGTGACCACATTGTTTTAACAGACAAATAATTTTTTTTTTATTTTAGAAACCTGTGTCAGCTGACCAACTTAAAAACCCTGGTGTAGGTGGCAGAAGCCAGGGAAACACACATGTGGTCCCATTAAGGACCAGATTAGCAGACACTGCAAGAGAGAACAGAAATAAAAGACAGAAGGACGGGGAAAACAGATCCATTGTAGAGAGTCCCAGAAAGAGACAAACAGCAAACAGCCAGAGAAGTGGGGAGGGGAGCAGGGAAGGGGAGTGGAGCAGAAGCACAGCATCCAGAAACCATGACCATATGGAGCCTTGTTTGTTTTATGTTAGGTGTTAGATAACCCCAATTTAAAAAAGATTTTTGCAAAAGGCAGCGCAAGGGTGTTTGGAAATCCGGCCTCAAATTGCAAGTGTCTGTTTTTACAAGTCTATGCCAAATCTCGGCACTCAATGCCTACCACAATGTGTCCACTATGATAAGACTCTTAAGTCAAAAAACAGAGGGGTGTGAGAATTGCGTGGGCAGATGTCTCCATCCCATGGAATCCCACCTCGGCAAAGACAGTCTCACCACTTTTAGTCAGGCTGGGGGTCCAGTGTGGCTGCGGCTTTAACAGTGTACCCAACAAACATAAGGACCCTGGGCCGTAGGGACTTGAAAAAGGGGAACTCACCCAGACAAAGCCGATCTTAGCCAGGCGAAGAGCATGGGCAAGAAGGGCGTTTTCCAACACATAACCCTGGACCCCTGGGGGAAAAAGCCCCCCTCCTGTGGGACCTCCAAATGTTAAGTTTTTTCCAGCCCGACAAATCTCTCCACTGATGCAATAATCCAAATCAGACCAAAATCAGACCAGATTAGAAGAAGCCCAGGTTCAATGGATGCCAGCACTCCTGGGTGGACTTCCGGGAAAACACAACGAGCAGAAAGGTGAACCATGTGTTTCTCGCTTTCTGGGGGTACAGTTTAAATAGCCTGTGGGTATGGTCTTGACCCTCTCTGGGAAGGGGTCACTGTTTGCTGGGTTTTCTTGGAGGTGGAGTCTAGACTGCCGCAGCTCTCAGGGGAGGTGGCTTGAAATGGAACTTTCCACCCAACATTCCAAAAAGGAATGCCAGGGGCTGGGGTGAAGCCCCCCCCAAACAGTCGTCAATCTGATTACAGGGGAAGGGCAGTTAAGGTACCCTCTCCACTCTGCCTGGGGTCATCCTTGTGGATTTCTGGGAATTTTCCTGGTGCCAGGTTTCTTGCTAACCCCGTGATGGCTCTCTCTATCAAGATATCTCTTTCCTTGCTCTCCCTGTCTGTTCTTCCCCCAACTCAATCTTCTTAATCTCTCATGTTCTCCTCTCCCCCATGTTGAGAATATTTCGGCGCTGGTGTATGGGTTTATGTGGGATCGTGAAATGAAGACACAGAGACACATGAAAATGATCTTAGCCTCTGTGTCTGCAGGGGGCTCAGTCTCCCTGAACTGAAGCGCTTTCTCTTCACTTTTCAGCCTCATTATTTGTTTTCCTATATTTACGCTTTAGTTAGTAGATTTCTATATCTCAAAGCAAACTGATAGAAGCTTATGACAATGCAATACCAGGCGCAAAGACCTGATTCATGAGGTACTATGGTTTTCCGGGTTTCCTCTAGACCTAGTTTTGCATAGGCTTTGTATCCAAGGGAAACTCTCAGTTAAGATTCACAGAAGACCACAAAAATTATCTGCAACACAACGGAAAGCCTAGGGGCTGTGTGAAAACTCTCTGGAGGCAGGCCAGGTATAACCCAGCTGGGTTTCAGGGGCTAGTTGAGGCTCCTTGCTCTCCCTCTGGTGCCAGGTCAGCAGGGCATTACACCACACCTCCTTCCACCCTCCACACTCCCCCCACACTCCCACTCTACTCAGGAGATCTTTAGTTCCCCTTCCCAGGGGGATCCATGTATGTCTCTCTTAGGGTCCTCCTGGCTTCTCTGGGGGTGTGGACTGTAGGCTTGTTATCCCTTGAAATTTTCAGGCAAATGGATGGAACTATTAAAAAAACATCCTGAACGAGGATGAAAGACACAGAAAGACAAACATGGTATGTACTCACTCATTAGTGGATATTAGACTTAAAGGAAAGAGATATCTTGATAGAGGGATCTCTATCAAGGGAGAAACCTGGTGCTAGGGAAATTTCCAGGAATCCACAAACATGACCCCAGCTAAGACTAGCAATAGTGGAGAGGGTGCCTGAACTGGCCTTCACCAGTAATCAGATAGTTGAATGTCCTCAATGTCATCATAGAACTCTCATCCAGTAACTGATGGAAGGAGATGCAGAGATTCACAGCCAAGCACTGGGCCTAGCTCCTGGAGACCAGTTGAAGTGAGGGAGGAGTGATTATACAAGCAAGAGGGGGTCAAGATCATGATGGAGAAACCCACAGAGACATCTGAAGGGAGCTAGTGGGAAGTCATGGACTCTAGACTGACACCTGGGGAGCCTACATGGGACTGAACTCTATATACGGGCGATAGTTGTGCAACTTGGTCTGTTTGAGGGGCCCCTAGCAGTGGGACCAGGATCCATCCCTGTTGCGGGAGCTTGCTTTTTGGACCCCATTCCATATGGTGGAATGCCTTGCTCAGCCTTGATGCTGTGGGAGGCCTTGGTCTTGCCTTAACTGAATGTGTTAGGTTTTGTTGACTCCCATGGGAGGCCTTACCCATAGAGGGAGTGGGTGGGAGGTAGGTTGGGGAAGGTGAAGTCAGAGGAGGGAAAGGAGGGGAAACTGTGATTGATATATAAAACGAATAAAAATTTTTTAAAAAAGTTGGTGTCTTTCTGGAGATCTTTTGTGCAGTAATCTAATAATAAATGTTAAATATTGCTCTTAAATGAGAGTGAAATTTTCTGTTGTATCATGAGGAAAGAAAACGTAGGGTGTGTGTGAGGGGGTAAATCTATAGAAAGATGCTATGAAAGAAAGGAAGACTTGTGGCAATTGTGTTTGAGAGACAAACCATTCCTGGGGATTGAACAAATGAAGATCCGCCTCTTTTCCAGGGCTTCCACTTCCTCAAAGTGCAGAACAGTTTCTTGTGAACGTTCTCAATGGAAGCTTTTTATTTAACTTCCTGAGACATGGGTGGGTCAACCTCCCTTCTGGGCAGCTTGTGTGCTCTTACTTCAGGGTCTTATTTCCATCCTACCCCACTGTGCTTAGATTCAGGTCTTTCTTGAAAGCGTCTCTCGATGAAATGCCCCTTCCTTAGTTCCAGGTGTCACCTCTGTAGTGTCCTTAGCTGGGCCAACGCCAACAAAATCCTCACTCTGCCTGTAACGGCGTCTACTCAGAAGTGAACCGAGGTTCAGCTGCCTCAGGACCAGGAAACGAGAACATCAAGACTTCTGAAACTCAGGCTAGTGTTGAGATGAATGTATAAGTCTCTGACATGGTCAACAGATGTGTTGGAGACACTTATCTGTGACATGCAAAGCTAATTGTGTTACATGGGCAACTGAAGTTTCACTTAGCTTCCTGGAAGTGGCTCATGTTCTGATGGGATATAAGTTTTCCTTCTGTTCATATAAAGCTCTGGCCTGAACATCTGGTGAATCAAGTTTTGTTTGTTACTCTATGAGAACTGCAGTGTGCGTGTGTGTGTGTGTGTGTGTGTGTGTGTGTGTGTGAGAGAGAGAGAGAGAGAGAGAGAGAGAGAGAGAGAGAGAGATAGACAGACAGACAGACAGACAGACAGACAGACAGAGACAGAGACAGAGAGAGACTGTGTGTATGAATGTGAGTGTATGTGAGCATATGCATGTGTGTGTGTTAGTCTGTATGTGAGTGTGCTTGTGTGTGCAAATGTGAGCATATATGTGTATGTATATGTGAGTATATGAGCATATATGTGCATGATCTGTATGTGTGTGTGTGAATGTGTGTATATATATATATATATATGTGTGTGTGTGTGTGTGTGTGTGTATGTATATGTGAGTATGGGAGTGTGTGTGAGCGTGTGTGTGAGTGAGTGTGTGTTTTGGATGGTGGGGTGGAATGCCAAACACATCCCTCTAAGAGACTCCCTGACACAGAAAGAAGAGGGCTTGCTGAGATAAGTCTTAGAATTTGTTAAGGGGAATTTGAATTGTGTGTATACAGAAGAAATGAATGAGAAGGGACAGATTCACATCTGTTAGAAGATCCCTTGAAGGGAACAGAAGCAGATGGATATGCTGGCCTATTTTGGGAACAGAACACCTGGGTTAGATACATCAGATTTAGCTTGGGCAGGTACTAATTAAACTCCAGAATGACTCATGGAGTTGTAAGAGGAGAATCCTCCTCTGGTCTCACTTCTCCAAAGCAAAGCCTCTGATGGCATTACATAATATTCCTCTGGCACTCTAAGCATCCTTAGTGGGAGGAGCATCCCACCCACCAGGGCCAGGACTGGGTCTTAGTGCCAGGGTTGGGTGTTAGTGCCAGGGTCAGGTGTTAACTGAAGGAAGTCCCTGTGTGCCCTCCTGTGTCTGTGAGTAGCTTTGGCTTTATGAGGAAGAGGAAGAAGTTACTGAGTCAGCAACAATTGATAGTCAGGAGCGGAAGGAGCTTTAATGGGAACATAGCAGAACCGAATCGCTTGCATCTTGGTCCCTCTACAGAAGAATTCTGAGTAGACAAACTAGGGCAGGAACCAAGTCCTCAGTTGAATTCAGAGACTCAGAGACCTCACATATATAGGCAAAAGAAGCTTCGTAGTACTTTATTTTCAGGTATAAATGAGAGATGGGACTGTGATGTAAGGGTGGGGCTCAGCATCCATCCTGTGGCTAGCTCTCCGAGGCACAGTTTTGGACTGCATTACTTTTACTTTGTCTTCTGTTGGGCTAGTTCTGGAGTGACAGTTGAGGGGCAGGGTTCAGGAGCCTTGGGGTGGCAGGGCTCAGGGGCCTTGGGGTGGCAGGGCTCAGGGGCCTTGGGGTGGCAGGGCTCAGGGGCCTTGGGGTGGCAGGGCTCAGGGGCCTTGGGGTGGCAGGGCTCAGGAACCTTGGGGTGGCAGGGCTCAGGAGCCTTGGGGTGGCTGGGCTCAGGAGCCTTGGGGTGGCAGGGCTCAGGTGCCTTGGGGTGGCAGGGCTCAGGAGCCTTGGGGTGGCAGGGCTCAGGAGCCTTGGGGTGGCTGGGCTCAGGAACCTTGGTGTCACAGGGCTTCTTGATTTGGGAGACACATGGCTCCTGAGGTGGTGGCTGGCAAGGCTGTTTCACTTGCTGCTCATGCAACTGAGGTAGTTCTGTACAGGGTTGCTTCTGCTGGTGTGAACTCATGCTTCAAAGATGGCCGGGCCTAGAAACAGAATAGATGATTAACAGAGGGAATGGCTTCATGAGAATCCACTGGCAATGCCAATTCCAATGCATGAAGAAGTGGAGCTTCTTCTTTCTCTCTCTACTATGGTTCTTTGCCGTGAGGGTCCTTAACGATGACAAGTTTGGTTCTAAACTAGTTGGTTTTTCCAGTTCCTCCCTCTTCCACCCTATCATCAGGCACAGCTAGCAACACAGCAGAGGGCATTAGCAGGAATGTGAGATTGATGCTGTTGGCTCATGTGGAGATGTGAAATGTAGAAAATAAAAGCATTAAAATGCTCACAGCCCATCTACAATAAGTAAGATGTTTGTGGCCCGTAGAACGCCTGTGGTCCCTCCAGATCACCTCGCCAGCACATGTGGCTCACGCCCTCTCCATCTCAGGTGCTTCACTCCCCCTGCTTGCTCAGACAGGCCCGACTGCTGCAGATCACCTGCTATGCCAATTTTAGGCAGCTTTCCTAGAGCAAGCACTTAGGAAATTTTTCTTGTCTTCCCATCTTGCCATAGCTCCTGCCCTGTCTCCTGGCACTGACCCCCTCACAGTACTGCTTTTAGTTCCTATTCTTCTAACTGAGATGCAGTTTTGTAGAGAAAATTCGCCCTTCTCTAAATTACCCTTTACAGTCCCAAACGCCAGATACAGCAAACTCTTAACAAATGCTTTCATGGAAAGAATAAAATTCTCAGCGTTAAACTTGCAGATAACGAAATGATGTCGCTAGAAGTGTGATAGGCTCGTGTTCTTACCCAGACACAGACACAGCGAGTTGGTGGCACACACCAACTACGTCTAAAGTTCCTTCAATCGTGATTACTTTTATGTGAAAGTTTTTACGGTTTACAATTCAGGTGATTCATCTGCATTCTATCTACGACTAAATTTCAGTAAGAGGAGAAAAAAGACACCCCAAATGCAAACAAGGCCCAGTAAAAAGTTACATAAATGCATAAAGTAAGTGGTGAAGTATCCACGTAGAGAAGCTTACCTGGTATGCGGGATGCAGAGAATAGGCAGTGTGGTCACTGGGATCTGGTGTGGCATCCTCTTCACACTGGCTTTTTATAGAAGGAACAGGCCCTGCCTCGAGGGAATGGGAGCCTTTGGGGCTGCCGCATCTTCACTACTTACCCGTCAGACATGATTCATCCTAGGTGCTTCACCCACTTATTGGCTTAGCCTAAGTGATGAAACTAATAATGTGACCTTTTTCACATGCTGACAATCGTACAGTCTGGGCATAAACCCTGAAGAATACCTCCCAACACCTCAAATATGATGTTTTCAGGCAGGATGCTATGAGCTGAAAGAGCAATAAGGAAATTCTGAGAAATCAGGTAACAGAAATCTACTATGATTTACAGATGTCATAAGTAGAGTCTCAGTTTAGATGGGTGCATTGGTGTGATCAGGATGTCTCAGTTTAGATGGGTGCATTGGTGTGATTGGGATGCCTCAGTTTAGATGGGTGCATTGGTGTGATCAGACTATATAGTGAACGAGGGGTAGCTAGGAGGTGTTTCAGGTTCTTCGGGGAGGCAATGGGCATAATGTCATTACTTTTTTTCCTTGGAACAATTTAGGTCATAGATCTACTTATCCTTTACTTAGTGGATTCAAGCCCAAAAGGGACATAAAAAAAAAAAAAACAAATAAGCAAACAGACAAAATCTTTAAAGTGATTCTCTCTCTCTCTCTCTCTCTCTCTCTCTCTCTCTCTCTCTATCCATTATCCCTCCCTCCCTCCCTCTCTCCCTCCCCCCTTTCTTTCTTTCTTTCTTCCTTCCTTCCTTCCTTCCTTCCTTCCTTCCTTTCTTTCTTTCTTTCTTTCTTTCTTTCTTTCTTTCTTTCTTCCTGTTTTTAATCTCTAGAACTCCTTTTCCAAGAAAAGACACAAAAATAAGAGGTGCAAGGCTGGGAATCTCCATTAGAGAAGGGAAACTCTGAGCTGTGTAAAGTGAGAGGCCCATCAAGCTTCAGGTCCCAAATGATTTGGTTCTTCTATTCCAGCGACTTTTTCTACCTAGTGTGGCAAAGACTTAGGCAGCTGGTTACAGGGGAGATGGGAACGGAGAAGAGACTAGTACTTTGGTGGGGAATAGCAAGGTAGGTTTCACGGTGGTGGATAGAGTCACAAACTCTAGGAAGGGAATGCACAGGGAATGCGACAGAGCTCAGTGAAGCCTGGCAAGCAGAGAATCTTTTCTCAAGCTCAGCCACGTCTTACATGATGGAGGGGCTGTGTAAACAGGGGTTTCTCCTTCAGGAGAAACTTCTCTCCTAAGCTAGGACAACACTTACCTAACCTGTGAAGATGGTTTCAGCTCACACAATGTCCACCATTGTGATATAGGCTGCTTCACCTCGTTTCCTCTTTCCTTATCAGAAAATTGTCGTTCACTAGAAAGTTGTTCTTTTTACACTATTATTCAAAGAAAATACATCCTTACTTATGCAGCAAACCCCAAATAAACAAACAGTTGAATTGATATAAAATATGAGGAAAATGGACGAAAATCTTGAATTTTTTCTGGTCTACCATGGAGTTCAATGTAAGCAAACAATATTTGCTAAGAGAAAAGCTCTTTGGGGGAAAATAGTCATATTTTGTTGACTCTTCTTTGAAATCAATATGAAAAGATTCTTTCTCAGATAGAAGCTACCTTTTCTCTGTTTGTTTTAATCCCATCTGCTTAACTTTCTCCATGAAAATGTCAAAATAACAGTAAAAAAATGAAGTTAGAATATGATAATTTCCATGCCATTCTTGACTGCATTAAAGAAAATTCCAATTCCTTCAATGTCCATCTATTGTCATATTCAAAACACATTTAAAATGCTCTCAACCCTCAAGATCTCAGACTCGGTGCTGTGGGAGATTGCAACACCCAATGGTGACACATGGACTATCCCGAGACCGAGCAGGCCATTGCAGGCCACATGACAGGCTTGTGAAAGAGCTTCAGGTAATGACATGTCCTGGAACCTCCCTGCTGGGGTGTGCTCAGCGTTAGTGAAGCTTCTTGCAGTTAGTGGGCTGTGGGAGATGATGGAAATTTTTCAGGTTCTTTAGTCCTATTCAAAAAAAAAAACAGGCTCTCCCAGTTTATTCATTCAAAGAAGTTTTGAGTATCTATAGGCCATCAGGGAGTATTCTTGGCACTTGGTTGTATCAATGAAAACCAACAAAGATATTGAATCATTTGGACTATACACACTAGTGAAGAAGGCAGAAATCCATTATAAATAATAAAAAAATTGACAAACAAGAATAACTTTATATTTAGTGCTATAGTAAAAATAATTAAAAAAAACAATGTAAGCAATTAGGAACACCAGGAGGTGATTTTGCACAGGCCCAAAAGAACTGAAGTCATTTGAATATCTGAGGACAGAAAGTTCAAATTAAATACTATCTGAAGCAAATCCTTCAAGCAGTGATCCAAAGCAAATGCTGGAGCTGCCTGGTGTACTCCAGTGGCACAGGGGCTGAGACAGAGGTCACAGTCAAACCTGTCAGCCTGCCAGTCCTTCTTAGAACACAATGACTCACTTCCCACAGTCTGCTTAAACAATCTTCAAGAGAGTGTGCTAATGAATGGCTCTTCAGGTGCCCAAATGCCTTGTTCCTGGAATTTTTTGTTTTTGAGAGTTTCTACACTAGAATGAAAGAGTTATATGTATGAGTGAATTAAACTCACATCTAAAATCATTTTAATTCAGTGAATTTACCTATTGAGATTTTTTTCATCAAACTTTTTAAGTTTAATTATTCATGTGATAATAGAACCAGTGAGTTACTTTCCTTTTTAAATACAGAAATGACCTGTACCAGCAGGTCCTCCTTGAGTGACAGGGTCCTGAGAGAGAAGATGAGGAGATCAGGGGATAAAGGGATAGGAAAGTTTGGAATTAGGTTCCACATAAGCTATGTCTTATGACTAGGTAACTTACTAAGAAGAGCATTTTATACACTAGTTTCAGGGCAGAAATAGGACAGTGCCAGCAGAAACTATCACACAGTGGGATGAAGTCAGAAGGAAGAAAATCAAGAAATGTTGCCTAAGGAACACAGGGTATCTCAAGAAGACCATAGATGAGCACACAGTGGCCCTGGGATTAGCAACCTTACCCAGCATGGTGGAAAAATTGGTTTTCAGTATCCAAAGCCATTGCACTCACAGGGCTCTGGCCCCAGGCCATTACAGGTTGTGCCAAGTTTTAGAAGAGGAAATGCATTCCTTTTCCACACATGGAGCCTCAGGGAAAATCTTGGACCAGTTCAGTCCTCAGCATAGAATTGACACGAAAACAGACACATTGATCAATGGAATAGAAATAAATGTCAGACATAATTCAACACATCTACAGGTATCTGAATTTTAATAAAGAAACCAAAAATATGCACTGAATAAAAGACATCTTCAACAAGTTGTGCTTGTCAAATTGAATAGCTGGAGGTAGAAGAATGAAAATATACCTGTATCATTCACCCTGACCAAAACAACACCAAATGGATCAGCTACATGAACATAAGACCAGATACCTTCAATCTGCTAGTAGAAACATGGAGACCAGGCTTGAGCTCATTGACATAGGCAATGGCTTTCTGAATAGGACACGGATAGCACACATGTGAATAACTGGGACCACATAGCACACACGTGTGTAACTGGGACCACATAAAACTAAAAAGTTCCTGTATCGCAAAGACAGCATCATTCCAGCAGAGCAGCGGTCACAGAATGGGAAACACATCCTTACCAACTATCCATCTGGTAGGGGGCTAGTATCTCTAGTATACAAAGAACTGGAAAAGCTGAACATCAGGGAAACAAACAACCTGATTGAAAATGGTGTATAGAACTTAATAGAAAGTTCTCAAAAGAAAGACAGATAGACAAATGGCTGAGAAACACTTAAAAATGCTCAGCATCTTTAACTGTCATGGAAATGCAATTTAAGACTACTTTGAGATTTTAGCTTACCTCTGTCAGAATGGCCAAGACAAACAAAGCGAATGAAAACGCATGCTGATGAAGATGGAGGGGAAAGGGAAGACTTACTCATTGCTGGAGGAAGTGCAAATTGGTATGCCCACTATGGAAATCGGTGTGGAGGTTCCTCAAAAAGTTGAAAATCAATCCACCTCAAGATCCAGCTATGCTATTCTTGGGCATACGCCGAAAGACTCTACATCTTACTACAGAGATACTTGTTCATCTATGTACATTGCTGTCCTATTCATTATAGCCAGAAATTGTAAACAGCCTAGATGTCCATCAACTGATGAACAGATAAAGGAAATTTATATTTACACGATAAAATATTATTCATCTGATTAGAAAACGAAATTATTAAATCTTCAGTTAAATGGAAGAACTAGAAACAGTTATCCTGAGTAAGGTAACTCAGATCCTAAAAGAGAAATATTTTCTCTTTTACGTGCCTGTTAGCTTTTAAGATTTTGATATGTGCTTCAATCTGAATAATTTCATAAGTTAGGTAGCTAGTAAGGGTCCAGTGTGAAGGGAAGGTGATTTCAAGGAAGAGAAAATAGAGCATAGTGTTATGGAGAGAAAAGCAGAAAGTAGAATAGGAGTATTAAATGGAGAGAGAGGTGGGAAAGAAAGGTAAAGGAGAGGATATGGGGAGGGGCAACTAACTCTAAAAGCCTTTTGAAAATCCATACAGAAACTTACTACTGCAGAAGCTCCCTGAAATGTAGACATATATGAAAGGAATTTAATAGCATATAATAGGAGAGACACTGCCCCAACTAGGGATTTCATGCTACCAAGAACCTTCTGTGCCAAGAATGGATTATATATTTTTGAGTTATTGGCTAAAGGCTTTTGCCAATGCTACTGGCTACTCTGCAGAGCCTAATAGTAAGTTACTATTGCTAAAGAAACAATTTATATCACTGAACAGCGAAATCCAGCTGGTGCACAACTAGAAACTTGATCCCTACTGACCAGTGTTCATAGTATTGGAAGGTACTCTTACACTGCCTGAACAGAAAAGCAATAATATCACTTAGCTACAAACCCAGGGACTGACAACAGCAATATGTCTGCAGGATAGACTGGGATAATAGTGACACATACGTTATGGGAATAACCAACCATATTTTAGTCGGCTTTAAGGCCCACTCCATGAGATAGAACCCACACTGAAACTGCTGAAGTGACCACGAACCTGGACTACATATGTCATGGGTCTAGGGGAAAACCTAATACTTATTCTGTTAAATGAAAGTGGGTGTGGCAATAAAAACTCCTAATGACATACTACTGTGCAGATAACCATAGATCGATGCATTACTCAGTCCTCATCAGGGAAGCTTCTTGCAATAGCTGATAATTAGTATGAAGACTCACAACTGGGCAACGTGTGGAGAGTGAGAGACTTTGGAGCACTCAGTCCTAAATGGGATGTCTCCTCCCCTCTCCTCAAGGCTCGGGAATCTATGCGGAAGAGGAGGCGGGAAGATTTTAAGGACCACAGGTGGTTGTTGACTCTAAGGAAACAGTGTTTTCCAGACACACCAGGACTGATGCACATATGAACTCACAGAGACTATGACAGAATGAATGAGACCTGCACAGTTTC